CGTCCTCTGCGTGACCACCGGTTTGCCTGCAGAGACAGAGATCAGAGCAGGAGTCAGACCTCTGGTTTCTTCCCGATAGAGTCGGGTGAGATAGGGCCGGTGTTGGACTCACGTTTCTCCTCCACCACCTCCACCACCTGGACTTTCCTGTAGGAGAAACAGAGGTTAGCTAGCTCTTGTTTCTGAGTCTGAGGTAAACTAAACGAGTGTTTTTCAACCCCTGGTCCTCGGTACACTAGTGTGCTGTTAGTGATGGTCAGGTGTGCCGTAGAAAATCATCCTATTTCACCTCACTGGTCTAAAAAGACTTTTTGATAAGGAATTAATTATCTGCAAATAATTTTTGAGTGTCTGCTGTTCTAGTGACTGGTGGAGTAATCATGTAATAATTCCTTATGACTAGGTTTTGTATATAATTTTGTATATTGAAGTGGACATGTTAAGTGCAGTTTGAAAGAAGAAATATAAAAATGATAAAAATACATTTTTGTGTTTATTTGATTCCTATTCAAGACACTTAAGATAAGATAAGAATAAGATAAGAATAACTATAGTGTTACTATAGGCGACTACAGATTTGTTTGACATTTTTGGTTGGTGGTGTGCCTCGAGATTTTTTCAATGAAAAAATGTACCTCGGCTCAAAAAAGGTTGAAAAACACTGCTCTAAACAGAACAGCCGGGTTCTTACTGCACGGCCTCCCCGTCCAGCAGCCGCCGGTACTCGGCGATCTCCATCTCCAGCCGGGTCTTGATGTCCAGCAGGCGGCGGTACTCGGAGGACTGGCGCTCGATGTCGGTCCTCATGAGGCCCAGCTCGTTCTCCAGGCTGTGCACCGTCTGCTGCAGCTGGCTCAGCTTCAGGCTGTAGCGCGACTCCGTCTCCCCCAGCTGCGACTCCAGGTTGGATTTCTGCACAAACACCGGAGGAGGTGAGATCCCTCGGCTCTGTTTTCAGACTCACCAGACTCCCTGGAACCTCCATCCATCAGATGAACCCTGATTAGGCTGATTAGGCAGTTAAATCAGCCTTTTTAACTCATTGACTGCCAGCCATTTTCAGAACAGAGTCCCATCCTGCCAGAGTTTTTGGAGCATTTTGACTGATTTTTCTAGAGCCACAGCATAGTTTGTGCTATGACTATGTAAACACCGAACACACCAAAAGAAAGAGTAGACTCTCTTCTTTCATCAGGAAAAAAAAGTGTTTCTACCTTATTCCGTTCTTCCTGGACTTGCGTCTCACCGGCGACATGTTCTCTCATAGAACCGTTCCCTTTTTCTTATTTGCCTACAGTCTATGCTCATCTCCCATCAAAAGTGGCACTGCCCCCTAGAGGGTCAATTTGTTACTACATACTCTCTCTAGAAGCCCATATTTACGGACAAGCTTTAGCAGATCGTCCCCCAGACACTCTCGTTAAAAACATAAAAGACCTCTATAGACGTCTTTGGCAGCCAATGAGTTAATCAGCCTAATCAGACCCCGGATCAGAGCCTCCACAGAAGTTTAAATGAGTCCTCACAGGCTCTGCCGGAAGAACAGGAGATACAGAAATGGGTATGAACGTGGGGGGGGGGGGCTCACCATGCTAAGCTGGGACTGCAGCTCGATCTGGAGGGCCTGCAGGGTCCTCCTCAGCTCGCTGATCTCGGACTGGGAGCTCTGCAGGGTCTCCGTGCTGCACACCACCTCCTTATTCAGCTCGTCGAACTGAGAGGAGGAAACAAAAAAAGGTTCAAATCGGACCGGAGTGGAGCGGGTGGAGCGGGTGGGGGTTGTTGTGTTGGGTTCATATATGCGAGGATGCCCTTTTAGAGTTCTCACGAAGCTCTTTTAATTCACATGCTTCCATCACAAATGCACAGGTCTCTTAGCTCTAACTCTGCTGTCTTAACGCAGCTTTCAATCAACATAGGACCATGGTCTGCCCCCTGGTGGCAGCACACATACACGTCAATGCAATAACGTTAGTTTACACCACAGGGGTCTCGGCTCACCTTCAGTTTGTACCAGGCCTCCATCTCGCGCCGGTTCTTCTCGTTGACGCCCTCGTACTGGGCCCGGATCTCCTCCATGACTTTGCTCAGGTCCTCCTGGGGCTTGGCGTCCACCTCCACGTTCACGGAGCTGCCGGTGACCACGCCCCGCAGAGCCGCCAGCTCCTGGGGGTGGACGGGGGGGGGGGGGGGTTAGGGGGGGTGGGTTTGGAGGGAGGACTCAGGCGCGGAGATGACGGAAAAACAGGGTTTATTGTAACAAAAGGTGGAAGTCCAGACAAGGGTCAAAAACAAGGCTGTGATATCTGGATCGGATCGGCTGCCGATATTCTAAAAAAAACTGCGTATCGGCCGGCAGGAGAAGTTTGATCCCACACCAGCATTAGCATTACCATTAGCATTAGTGTTAGAATCTGTAACCCACCGGTCTGTGTCCTAACCATTAAGTTGTTTTCAGAGCATTAGCATTAGCATTAGCATCTGTAACCCACAGGTCTGTGTCCTAACCATTAAGTTGTTATCAGAGCATTAGCATTAGCATTAGCATC